TTGCTGAAGGGGTCCGGAGCATGCCCTCTCTGTGTGATCGGGTGGGACGGGATGAACTCGTGGGGGAGAGGCGGTCCCTCAGGTAACCGTATATATACTATACATGTACAGGAGAAGCTTCTGCAAATGCTCAGCTGCAAATCACCAAAGCAAATCACATCAACTCTTTGATGAGGTTCACTACATCACTCACCCTGTCAATGGGATTGCTAAAATCTTATGAGTTCAGCTACATTCTTTAAAAAAAAAAAATTAAAACATTTTTATGTGTGCCATCATGTAGGATTGTGAAATAGCACCTATTGCCTGAAAAACTCACCTAACTTTGATTTAGAATCTGGACTAAATGGTCTTGAGTATTGGGCTCTTTAGGTAAAGATACCTAAAATTAGCTCACATCTTTTTTTTTCTATTTTGTGTAAACTAATCTAACCAAAAACAGTAAATAAATAAATAAAAACAAAAGAAAAAGGATTCATATATAATTACTGCTTTGAATTATGTAATTCAACTCTTAAACAACAAACTAAACCTTTAACACTGTATTTAACAGTACATTTGAAATTTTCATCCTTGTTTCTTTTCCCAATACCCTATTTTCAATCTTATGGATATTAAGCCAAAATGATGTCAAGATAGAATAGCTCCAGAATGTTCCCTTCTGACATATGCAGTTCTAGCATGCAGAAGATGAAACACAACACTTGCTATTTATCCTCTGGGATGTTCAGTAGACATAGGATAAAATATTTTCTTGATGTGTACATAGATTTTTTTGCCCATCTTTTTATTCTGGCTGTTGACCAGATAATTATGGCTGGGGATTTTAATCATGTTTTAAACCCCCTAGTGAAATGCAATTTCAAGTAAATTGAGGTCTAATTCATGGAAAGTCTATAAGCCTGTTTATTGGAATGTAATTTGATGAGTATATGGCAATATTTGATTCCATCTCAAAGTGAATACACTTTTTTAGTCTTTAGGTAATCTTTAGCTAATCAGATAGATAACTGCAATATAAGTTCAATTGCCATTTCTTACTATGCTCCAGTTACACTATCAATTTTTAATGCAGAATCAAGCAACTTATCTAGCTGTAACTTTAACATGGATACAATTGAATCAATGAAATTAAGTAAGATTCTGGCCCTGATTATTTTCCTATAAACAGGCAAAAGGCATTTATTTCTTGTTCCAGTCCAACCTCCAGCTTTCATTCTCTCTTCATTTTTGTCTAGGACAAATGCTGATAAAGTTTTCCTCACTTCTTCCAGAAAGGCTTTTACTTCTGTAATTTTGAAGACAACTAAAGGGCCTGTACAATATACGAGTTATCACCCAATTTCTTTGGGTGCTAAAATTTGTTTTAGCAACTTTGTGTCAGAAAATGCAAATGATATATAATAGTGTATCCAGCACAGTCTGGTTTTGTTAAAGGGTATTAAACATCAGACACTACTATAGTTTTAGCAGGTATACTTGATACATAATTATATAAGTTGGATTCAAAGGTGGTTGACTCATTAGAAAGCCTTCAATATGGTGCAGATTATATTTTTGGAACATGTTCTGGCTAGATTTGGTTTTCCTTTTAACTTTATAGTTGGTTTAAAGGTAGTCCTCTAATCACAATGGCTACTACAAATGAAATTATTTCTTTACCTGTTAGGTTACTATGGAGCACTCCTTAAGGATGTCCACTTTCTTCTCTGTTGTTTATCTTGAAATTGGAACTGTTGGCCTGTTTTGTTAGGCAAGGTAGCGTTGTTTCAAATATCAGGACAACTGCAAAAGAACATGCATTATTATATACTAATTATATTTTAAGCCTTATTGATCATCCCCAATTTTCTTTACGATAGTACCATACTTCGCTAAATTTTCAGGTGATTACATTAATTGTAATAAGTCTTATATACTATCTGTTGCTTCTAATATTTATACAAGTATAAACATGAAGCCTTACCTTTTGTATTGATTCATTTAAATATATTTTAACAAGAACAATTTAATTATATATATGGGTAATATTTCCCATTTGTTTTTATTTTAGATTAATATAGGTGAATCTATAGGGAAGAATAAATGTTAAAATGAATACTACTCCAAAGATGATATATATTACTAGGGAGAGTTTTGTGTTAAGACTTGTGTTAATAAAATATTGACAAAGTTTTCATGGGATGGTCAGTCCCATAGATTTTCTTTTTCAGAATCATGAATTTCATATGAATATGGGGGACTTGAACTTTCCTTGCTTTCAGTTATACTATTGGATTTAAATTTGGACTTTTATTGCTTCTTGGAATTCAACTGATTTATCTCAGAAACCATTATGGCACAATTAAAAATCTATTGTCTTTCTCCCTTAATATCTTAGCAAGGTCCTGAATTAGACATAATTCAGTGGGTTTTCCCACATTAAAAGTTGCAGGATACATTTGGAATAAGTTGGGAGGAAGATTAAGTTCCATACAAACTCTTACCAGGAGTTATGCACCTTCATGCAAGGTGAAAAAATGGAGTGCAACTCTAATTAGGCACATGTCCTTATCTGACTATGGAAAATCTGCAGTTTTGCCCAGTGATATTGTGGCCTCTTCCTTCCTAGGTTTGCCTTAGACAATGTCATGGAGCTGGATTTCTGATGCCTCTAAACAATTTCATTCTCTCTTTGTTAAGGTAAGCAACACTTCTTCCTTTTCCACAAAGAAAGGATTGACAGGGTGGGGGATATCGTTCTGGGAAGGGAATAGTTTCTTTAGGTATGATGAAATTATGCAGACAAAGAAGCTGCACCTGGTCTCTGTCACATCCACAAGGGCAGAGGAAAAGGTCCTAAAAACAAATAACTGCCTTTTACATCTAGATTCTGATCTTGTGGCAACAGAAGCAGTCTCATTCCTCCATAAACAGCTAAAAATGAACCTTCAATAATGCTAAACAGTTGCATTAATTAAAACTCACACTGGCATTTGTTTTTCCATTGCCATCAAACTCAAACTGATAAAGAAGTCTGTTTGAAGTCTCTCAGTGCTGGTGAGTTTTACATGCTTTGTGTTGTAACTACCTTTCCACATGAAATAAAACCCTTTCTAGCAAAAGAATGGCCTGCAAAGCTTCCAGGAGCAAATTAGCTCTTAACCGAACAAATGTGCAAGTGTAATGCCGTGCAGTACAAAGTGAGTAAGACCAGCGGGGCCTATGTTTAAACCAGCAGAGAGCTATTTTTTCAACATCTTTCTTTGTCATAATCAAACAATCATGCCTCCACCTAGGAATTTCTTCCCTGTGTTTTGAACTTATCTTATAGTTCTTCTGGAGTGCAGTAGTTGTCACATGGTTTGTGCACTCTGCTTTAAAGTTTATCTGCAAGTCAGCAATGTTGCTTTTGGCAAAATTATTAGTTCAGCACACCTGCCTCATGCTTAGCAATGCCCTGAAATCCAGCCATCTCCTTCAGGAAATGATAGCAGAGAGTGGAGAATAAAGAGCCAATACCACAGTAATGATTTCAGCTCTGAAACTCAACTCAGGAAGTGGAGACAACCAAGACATCATGTCAGCAGCAGTTTCTTCACAGGAGAGTCCAATTCAAATCAGCTCAGCTCACAGATAACAAGCAGTGAGTCTTATGAGATTCATTATACTCCAACAGCTCCAGGGAAGCAGAGTGAGGCAACTTCCCAGGTGGCAGATGCCTAACCATTTCCCTGAGCCTCTATAGTACTATATGGCTGGACCACCAGGGAAAAGCCCAGGTGTGCACAGCCCACAGGCATCCCCCCCCCCACATGCTTTCACTCTGCAGAACTCTCGCATTTTTTGAAACTGTTAAATGGAAGACGAAGAGGTGTCTGTGCAAGGAGGAAAGTGTAGTAAAGTGATATTTGGGAAAAGCAGAAGCTCCAAATACGCCTAACTGGGCTCTCATGAGGCAAGTTGTCCAGGATCCCTCAACCCTGACTGTGCTTTTGAGCCTCTTGGCCATTTTTCTCTCTTGGAAAGCAGGGATGTGTCCATCTCACACATGTGCTCCCTAAACTATTTTGTGGTCTTAGAATGGGATGCCCCAATCTAGACAATAGATTGTCCCTTTTCAAAGCTTCAGAACATCTGAAAAGGCATGCGGAAAGAGATTCTCACTGACAGGTACTATCACCAACGTTTTTACATTCACTTGAAAATTCACACGGAGCTTATCTCTCTGCATACTGTGCTATGTGTCCCATACTCCCAGCACTTGAATGCTAACCCTAAAATATACTATTTGCCAGATCACTGATTGCAGAAAGCCACATGCTCAGTTTTATGTGTCTTATATTATGCAGTTCAACTATGCCAAGCAAGTCTTATGTTCATTTTCCAGTGTTTAAGTTCATATGTGCGTATGTGCCTTCAAGTCAGTTTTTTGTCTCCTGGCAATTGCCTGGACAAGTTTCTGCAGTTTTCTTGGCAAGGTTTTTTTGGAAGTGGTTTGCCATTGCCTCCTTCTTAGGGCTGAGAAAGAGTGACTGGCGCAAGGTCACCAGCTGGTTTTGTGCCTAAGGCAGGACTGGAACTCATGGTCTCCCAATTTGTAGCCTAAGTCTTAACTACAACACCAAACTGGCTCTCTTAATTTCATATGAACATGTGTAAATTATGGGAGAAGAATGGTGTGTATTTAGTTTTACATACCAACTAGCTATGTACTTTACTGTATTCAGTATTCATTTCCTATTGGTAGGTGATTGCAATTTGTGAGTTTGCAACTTCCTACACAAGTGAATTTGTATACATGGTAAAATCTACAGTTCATAATGTTAAAGTCATGTTTATGGTATTCAAAGATCGATTATTTCTGCATTTCCCAAGACGTGGTTTGGTAGATAAATTGCAGCCAAATGAAATTTTGCATATGAGAATTTCTGAAATCCACATTCCTGAAAATGTAATCAAACATGAACATCTCTTTGAACAGTAATGCTGTGTGGTAGTGTAGCTCTGTTCATAGAATGTGTATGGGTGGAAGCCCCTTAGAGCAAGTTCCAAAGAAATGAAATCCTGCTTGGATTGTGATGTGAATAACAGCAGGTAAGCAGCTGTATGCATTGGCTTGTTTCGAGTAGAGTGGAAGTGAATTACATGTCACTTATTTAAAAGCTTGATTGGATCATTATAAATGTATTTTTGTCATGAGCTCTGGATTATGTTGATGGTCTAACATGTCAGAAGCAACAAAGGAAAACAAATCTGTCTAACTTTCAAGCTCGGTAGAAACAAAAGTCTAATGTAACAAATCAAGTGAGGCTTATTTTCAGTGAGTAGAACTGGGCCATGTGTGGTGTATGGAGTGTTTGGGCTGTCAAATGGTGGCTCCCAGTGCCAAATATATGTAAAGCAAAATGTATAACCTTTCCAGAGAAATGTAAACTGGCATTAAGAATACATTATATGACACAGTGATTGATAGATCCAGATGGCATTCCTCAAAGGAGCCCATACATTTGGGCAGTGGACTAGCTAATGTTTTGGCTGCAGGCAAATTGCATATGTCACTAGGAGCAAAGTTGGTGCTACTCAGTAAATGTGAATCCTCTCTAGCTAGAACTTCAGTGTGGAATGTGTGTTGCAGATATATTTGATCATGTATGGTACATAATTGATACCAGTGAGATCTTCCTCTACCTTTATTTATTTATTTAATCAAATTTCAAGGCTGCCTGACTCCTTAACAACTCTAGGCAGCAATAAAAACATTACATATAAATCCAGAGCAAAACATCAACTATAGACCACCATAACTGAAGGGAGCTCCACAAATCACCCTGTGACCATGGCCTGGGAGAAGAACCAGGTCTTCAACAATTTCTAAAACAACTTAAGGGTGGGAACCACACAAATCTCTCAGGGGTCATCATTCCAGAGGCAGGTGCTGCAACAAACTAGGTGTCTTCCTGAGTCCCACAAGATAACATTTCTTAACTGACAGGACCTGGAGTGCCCCCATCCTGCTTGACCATACTGGGTAGGCAAAGACAACTGGAGGCACATGGTCCCTCAGATGGCCAGGCCCTAAGCCATGAAGAGCTTTAAAAAGTGATTGCCAGCACCTTGAATTACACCTGACACCAACTGGTAACCAGTATGGCTTGTGAAGCAATGGGGTAACATAATGTGGAACCCTCATCACTGCCCATGCAACTGCATTCTGAACCAGCTATAACTTCTGGATGGTCTTCAAGTGCAGCCCCCATGTAGAGTGCATTACAGTAATCTAATCATGAGGTTACCAGGGCATAAGTGACTATCAGAAGTGCTTCTCAGTCCAGGAAAGAGCACAACTGACACACTGGATGTATTTGTGCAAAGGCCCTCTTGGCCACAGATTCCACCTGTTTTTTAAACAGGAGCTGAGAGTCCAAGAGGACCCCCAGATTGCTCACAAGTCTTGAATGGGGATGGGCAACCCCACTGAGAGTTGTCAATGGACTATCTCTCCATCTTGTGGGGAGGGCAACCACTTGGTCTTATCAGGCTTGAGCCTTAGTCAGTTCTTCCCCATCCAGACTTGCACAGCCTCCAGGTACTGGGTTAGTACTTAACTGCATCATTCAGCCAGCCTGGGGTCAAGATGTGTGGCTGGGTCTCATCAGCATGTTGGGGATACCTGGCCCCAAAGAGATGAATGACATAAGCCAGAGATTTCATGTAGATGCTAAACAGAAGGAGGAAAGCATTGAATCCTGCAAGTAAGTGGTTGCGAGCATGACCTTTCACCACCTGTCAACACTAGTTGAAACTGGACAAAGAGAAAGAAGGAGAACATAGACAGTAACAAAGATTACTTTGATGGAGGTATGCAGTAACTGTTGCCTAGGCAAAAGGGGCTGAAGCATTTCTTAAGTCCAAAATTATCAGATAACATTCAGAAATGGCTGAGGCATACACCTCCCTATAGCTTAACTATAAGAAGGAAGAGGACATACAGCACAATCTGACAGATTTATAATCTGTTATTATAGCCAATCTCAATAAAAGTAGTTTTTTCCCTTCCTGTGGAGCTGATTTCCTAGTCTGCTTTACTTGGTGGGCCTAACATAGAACCACCATAAAGCAATACCTCCTACCCCCACCCCCTGCAGCCAGTTGAATGGTATCAAAAGCCATTAAAAGGTCAAGACACACTAAGATAGTTGCAGCAGTTCCATCCCAGCTCTGTCACCAGCAAGCATGACTAATGCTGTCTCTATACTAAACCCTAGCCTGAAACCTGACTAAAATTGGTCTAAATAATCTGCTTCTTCCAGGGTCCTCTGAAGGTGAAGCCAACCATCCTCTCCATCACCCTTCCTCATAAGGGAAGGTTGGAGATTGGACAATGATTGTCCAGGGTTGAGTACAGTAATGGGTTCTGAATGAAAGGGCACATCCCAGTCTCCTTCAAGGCTGAGGGGGTGGCACCCGCATGCCAAAAAGCTATCAGTGATTCAACCATGGCACTGGACTTATGATTTCTTCCAAAACCTTACCATATTTCAATTGTTGCAAGAAAAAAAAAAAGACAATTATGTGACCTCTGGTATGCGTCAGGCCTACAGTGGAGGCCATGAACTCCTGAGCCACACTCAGGAGTAGGTTGAAATCCCCAAAGAACCATAAGCCTTGGGGTCTCAACCACCAACCTAGCAATGAAATCC